AGAGACTGGAGCCATTCGTGTATTTCACCGCAGACAGAAATGGCTCCAACTCATACGTATATTAATTTTTTTTCGTTCTGGCTAAATAATTTATACACTGAGATAAAAACTGAGAGTAACTGCAGAATACCCGGCCACTCATTTACATGTCATTGAATAAGAACAGCGCTAGTGTGTTGCGCCTCCCGACACATGTAAGTGAGGCGAACCAAAGTGGCTGGGTATTCTGCAGTTTAGCCGAACTGAAAGAGCGATTTATTAGGTTTTTCTTATGTTGAAGTCTACAGTGCTTGCAAATGAAGCCCTCTTTTATTACTACAGGGCCATGTAGTTTCTAAGTTTTAAAATAATGCAGCAACTGCATGTCACGTTTAGAAAATCACGCAATGTTGCGTGACGCTGCGACCGATGTTTCTAATTTGCAGTATGCTCTGCTGGAGAAATATAGCTTGGCCGCAATCGAGGGAGTTTTCCGTGATTTTCGAGGTTATTGTTCACATGAAGGACAAATCAATTCATCGGGCTCTTCATCTGTGTTTGCACACCACCTAAAGGAAGAAAGTCGCGGATTAATTTTACTTGGTAATTTCTAACATTTCCACTAGACCTAAAAAAGGAGCAAACAAAACAAACCAAAAAAACGTCTTACCAGTCAAACCAGTGACAGTCGTTCTCGCACTGAATCATGTCGAAGTACCTTGAATGTTTGCAGTGATGGTACAACCAATCTTCGAACAGTTTTCGGCTATAACAAGAAATAGTAAAATGATTTTATAAAACTTGTTCTAAAATTAATGAAGGCTGTTCATCACATGACGCTGTATTGGAACGAGTTTATCTTATTTTTGCTATTGTATCACACTAATTTTTTAGACAAGGTATTTATACCACTTAAATTTAAGAAAGAATGAGTAGAACATAAACCACATTTTCTGTAAAGTACACGAGCCATCCTAACCTAATTTGCCAACTGCTTTCCACGCACCATCTGTAAAAAACCGCTTCAATTTTTCTAATTTGAAAATTTTTAGCTAAAACCGTGGCTCTCGAAAATATTTCTCACCTTGCCTAAAAGATTTTCAAAAGAAATTTTCAAATTTTTCACAACTTTGCCTATTCCTGCTCGTAGGTCCAGCCAAGCCCTTTATGGTCATTGGCCCCCGCAATAGCCGCTGACAATGGCCTATAAATAAAGGCGTTTATTGTTAACTAACTTGTAAAACTCCCTGAAGAAGTTTACGACAGTTAGACGAAAAGCGTCAGAGAATAAAGAAGTTTTACAACTACTGTTCGCACAGCGCTGCTCACTTGTTTAGTTTTAAATTTTTAATTTTTTTTTAAAAAATTGTAAAAAAATTAATAAAAAATTATTGAAAAAAAATTGTCAAACGTTTGAGTCAAAGCTATTCCTGTCAGCCGTGAAATACAGCAATGGCTCCAGTCTCTGGTCGTCCGCCTAAACTGACTAAATGAGTTTAGTCAGCGGAGCTAGTCAGCAGATGACTTTTTCATCGCCGGAATATCGCTGAACGACCTCGCTGAACAAGAAAGGCTGCCTTCCCTTCGCTACGTAAGTAACCATTTCTTGTTTGACACATCGGTGTTTTCACTCGCATTGATATTTAATTGTTCCGCTTTAAGACACGCGGTTAACACTCACGAGCAAGGAGTTAAGATATATCTTATTAACTTTTACTATTTTTATCATCCAATCACAGGTCGGAGCCATTCCTGTATTTAGAAAGACGCCATATTGGATTCACTTGATGCCTTGGAACGTAGCTACGATAACAGTACGAATGGTATTAATTTCACGATCAGAAAGGTGAATCTTATGTTTGTTTTCGTTGTAGTTGTATGGATATTCTTTTTTAATAAATACATGAGCCAAAATCCTGTGTTTTTTGTGTATGATGTTATTATATTATCTACTGTTTACACAATTGTCTTGTGGGCTAATTTCTACGTTAAGTTGTTGATGTTTTCGGCAAAAACTGCCGTGAATATCTTCGATAAATGTAACGTATTTGAGAAAGCTGCTCAGTTATTTGTTATTGTATATGGTAATAAGCTTAATAATAGCAATAATGAAGCATTTTCAATGAATACAGTCTGTCACTGTAGATCTCGATACGACAAATTTGTTTATTTTAATCGCCCTCATACGCATGGTGTTCATGTTCGTGATCGTGAGCCCAGCAGAATACCAAAGAAAAGAATTACACGTATTTTGAAGAGATCCAGGAAGGTAAGACGTTTACTTCGAACCTACATCAGGAAAAATATACCGAAGTCTTCCCGAATGCATCTTCTTACAAATAAAGCTCGTGAAAAAATATATGCACGGGGAATCAGATGTGAGAATAAAGGAACAATGAAATATCCCTCTTCTGCAGTCAGGAGAAAATATCGAAAGTCTAAGAAACACTGGATACTGAAAATGCTAAACCAATATCTGCATGTAATAAAAAGTCGAAAGCTAAAGCACTCGAATGCATGGAGGTCTAGTTCAGTACCAAATGTTTATAAAAATCTGAATCACAGGGTAGATTATTTTAAGTCCAATCTGTCTGTGGATATAGAAACAAACCCTGGTCCTGTTATTAATTCTACTAAAACAATTCAAGCTCCTTATACAGTCAAAACAATGTGGCAATGTTTGGGCTAAATGCTGGTACATAAAGTGTAGCCATGTCATTTTCTTCCCTCATATATAACAAGAGGAATAGTATTGTATCCTCAATGGACTTGGTTAATATCATGAACATTGGTAATGAATTGTATTCTGGTCTATCTAGTCTATCCAATCAATCCTATTTACTGTTCACAGAAGTACCTGAAATGATAATAGTGTTTAATATTAATTATCAGCTTCAATATAGTCCAAGTCATCCTGGTACTATACATAGTACTTGTGAAGTATAAGATTTCGATTGTTGTATGTCATTTGCTAATGCTATGTAGGCTTTGCTAGGACTAAATTATACTTCCTTTCTTTAAAGAATGCCTCATACTAGGGTAGGTTTTTACTGTAGTTATGGTAAGTTTAAGATATTTGATTCTCAAGGTAGAGATTCATGGTATGCCTCATCCTCAAGGAACTTGTGTACTGTTAGAAGTTAACACCTTAAATGAGCTGA